TTGAAAACGATACCTTTCAACTTTCATCCTTTGCCACCACCGTCTTCTCAAAGCATCAGCCGACAGCCATAACCAACATTCTTTCTCTTTCTTTCTTCATTCCCCAATCTTTCACCTTTTACAACAGCAACGAGTAGTATGCTGGCTTTGTATATATGTAAATAAATTATATATTTATTTACCCAAAATACAATGTATTCATTTTCCTCAAATTTACATTTGCTGAGGCAAAGAAGAAATTAACCTCTTCAGCAGAAACAACAACAGCGACAAGTACTGCCTTCCAAATTACTCATTCTTCATTTCCGCAACAGAGGATAGATAACAGTTGTCCCTAGATTTGAATTGATTAAGATTATCATGTTTAGGAAAGCATCCCCACAGGAATTCTTTGAAAGAAATTGAGTGGAACTTTGTTCTTACCAATGGAATATAGAAGGAATGAAAGTGATTTAACCCTTTCAATGTATCAATGCAGATGTTAGTTGTTGTTGTGGAAATGGAAAGTATTATCATTTTATGCCTCCTGGTACATTTATCCCACAAAAAATATTTCAGTCTGGGCAAAAAAAAAGAAGGACACAAGACATGGAATTTAGCCAAACAACAATTAATAAATGTATTAAGACATGTTACAGAAGGATAAAGAGAGAAATGAAATTGAAGTTATGGACAGTTTAATACAATCTCTATCTCTGAAGTACTTACATGCCTTGGGTCTATCAGAAGGAAATGTGTGTTGCCACTTCAAAAGTCAAAGGGAAAAGAGAGAGTCTTTCAAATATCATGCTGCCTGTGATTATCACCAGAGTGCGTAATCCAACAGTGTAAAGGTCTACACAAGTAGCACTAAGGAATGAAGCTTGTCTGAACATTTGCCATAGAAGTAACAATACGCTTGCAATGTTATATCTATAGGAAAGGAGCTGCAGGGTGGAAAACAAATAATCCCTGCATAAACAACTTTGAACTCTGTCAAGGTTGGAAAGTGAGACATGGGTAGCGCTATCCCAGATAAGACAGCAATATGAACTAATTTTAGTGTGAAAATTCTTATTACATGCCATTAAATTAAAGATCCCACCTCAAAACATTTTGGTGATAGGCCTGTCTCTCTCTACATCTTTCTTTCATCTTCATCCCTTTCCCCATTCTTATATATGAATTATAACAGTGGCCTTACTGTTAACAAGAAAAAAGTGGAAGTAACAAAACAACAAATGGAGATAAGATGTGGTTGTGATAAGTGAAAGAGGTTCTATTTCCTGTGATCTTCAAGCTTTGATTGCTTACTCATTCTGGGGTATTGAATAGCAGTCATGGGGGACTGAGAGTTCATTCAGGGTAAAAAATAAGGTAGTTGTCAAGATATAATCCTTGCTTTCAGTTCATCTTTGTATTACAAGGAATTTTGTTGGTCTCTCATCCAAATGCACCTCATACATAATAATCAAGGGAGTTGCAGTCTGGGGAGTTAGATGGCCAGATGTAGTCACAGAAATTTTCTGAGAGCCATGACTTGGGTCTTCTGCTTGTGTGGCATGGTGCAGAGTCCTGTTGCCAGATATAGGGTCTTCCAGCAGCCACACTCTTGACACAGAGCAGCACTAGCTCCTCAAGGCACTTGATGTAGGCAGATGCTCATCTGACCATATTATACTGTGCAGGTGACAAAATTAAAAACAAACAACACACATATATGAAATTAAAAATATAAAATGGCAACAATTCACCCATTGCACCCTGTATGTAGTTGAGTGAAATATACTTGTGGGAGTAATATCCTACAAATTATCACATTGTAGTAGTCAAGAGTTAATGTCTGCTGCTGGTTTTGTCACTAAGCCATGACTGATGATATTGCTGCTGATGGCCTGGGCAGTTATCTAGTTGTGGTGAGCATGAAATAATAACTCCCTTTCTCCACTCTCTTCAAATTCAGGCAAGCTGAGGAAAAAGAAATTAGCCATTGAGCCTAGAATAAAAACAAAGAAAAGAAAATAGCAAGCCTATGCAAAATCCTTTTTAATATAGAATAAAGAAAAAATCAGATTAGTGAGAGAAGAGTGTCTGATGTCACGTGAAAAGTTTTGTTTCTGTTCACGCATCTAGCTTGAAAGTTTCAACAGTCTCAAACTACTCACCAATTATGTTATTGGCAATAACCAAGCACTTGGTACTTCAAAGAACTTTATTTTAACAATCCAAGAAAGCTAAGTATTTCAACCTATCTCTCTTCATCTACTTTTGAATGTATGCAACTGTATATTCCTTCTGTGAACAATGAACTCTTTTACCTTTGTTGTAAACATTTTTGAATATTACTTTGTGTCAGATCATTTAATCTGTTGTATGAACATTTCCTCTTCATGACAATTTGTTAACACTATGGATTTTAAAAATTTCTGATTTATTTTCCTGAAAAAAGCTACTGACACAACTGCAAGCGTGTAAATTTGTAAATAAATTACTTAACTTGTTTTGTGAAAATTACCCATGTATTTCCTCATCATTACCATCCTTCATTAACCTTCTTGGCGTAGTTAAGCCAGCTGTTCATTTTAAGCCCCACTATGTACTCTACCACATTTTGTTAAATTTGCCTGCCATGGAAGTCTATTCCTAATGCCAATCAAAATGGATTTGTCTACATGGATAAAATTGTTGTTGACTTTATTGTCAGTGGGTGGCTCAGAACTGACTTCTGCAAAAACAGTGGGTATTTTTCTGATTGGTCAGAAAATATATTTTATGACTCTTATATTTTTGGCCAGTATTTTGGAAGTGGGTGTGCAGAGCTGGACACAATTAAAGTCTGTTTTGGTCATATCAGCTGTGAATACTAAAGTGAGTATTTCCATTTGAGTTAAGGAATTGGTGTTCTGACAGTGTTCAACAGAATGTAAATATTTTTCCTTCCACCTGGTTTTCTTTTCATTTTTCTCTTGCTTTCTTGCTCACCTTCTACCTTTTTTGCTTTATATTCTTCTTTTTTATCTTAAAATAATAAAAAATATATGTAGAACCAGAACACTTTTTGCAATAAGTCTAATTCTCTTTCTGTTCTCCATAAATGTAGTCACATGTTAAATCTGGTCTTTCTCAACAGATCTCAAGAAATTATGTGACCTCAAAAGAAAAAACATGTAATATTGATGTGCTCATATTTATTCTTAAAAAGATACTTGAGAATGCATACCAAAAATTGTTGTGAGATCCAAATGGCAACAGACAAACCCCACAAACATTACAGTTGAGGAAGTGACAAAGTCCAAAGCAAGGATAATGAGAACTAGGAGTTTAGATAAAATATGCCAAAATTTATCATTGGCAGAAAAAAAAGGAAAATACAATTGAAGAATCCGGATGTTTCAAATGCCCTGGGTGATCATGCTGGCAGTTGACTGTTGGTCTTAGATGTGCTAACAGTTGATGATGACTGGAGCAACTGCAGAAGGTTGATAAACAGTTGGAGTATTGGGTTGGTGTAGCAGGTAGTCATAACCAAGAGTTGAAACCACTGGTGTTCCGTGAGAAGGTGAGCAGCAGGGAGTGAAACCTTAGTTGCCAAGTGGATTGGAAGAAGATGTGGTCAGCAGGAGCCAGTCGGTTACTGGTAATCGCTGGTCACTGCTGGTTGTGGCAGATGATTGCTGGTTGTTGTTGATCATCACTTGTCACTGCAAATGATTGCTTTTTGCTGTAGATGATTTCTCGTCACGGTAGATGATCCCTGCTGGTTATAGCTGGTCATTGCAGATGATTGCTGGTTGTTGATGATCATCACTTGTCACTGCAAATGATTGATTTTTGCTGTAGATGATCTCTAGTCATGGGAGATGAATCCTGCTGGTTATAGCTGGTCACTGCAGATGATTGCTGATTGTTGCAGATGATCGCTGCTGATTGTCACTGGTCATTGCAGATGATCGCTGCTGGTCATCGCTGGTCCAGATACGATCCCATCATCTTCTTCTCCTCTCATCCCTTCCTCTTCAAGAGTGGCTGAGAAGTGTCAAAGTTGAGATGTTATCCTGTCGGTATTTGTCAACAATGAAGGCTTGTAGCTGAGAGGTGTCAAAGCTGGATACTTGGGGGTTGTTAGTCAAGCCTGGGAGTGATAACAGTCGTTGAGAAGTGCGGTCATGTTGAGTGGTGGCAGTGGCAGTGATGGTATTGGTGGCAGCAACAGCAACAGCAGCAGCCTTCTGTGTCACAGCCAGTGGCCCACCAGGTTGCAACTCTCTGATCATTCTCAGAGACCTGCACCTGCTTTTAAGCAGGTCTGGTAGTCCCCAGGAGTATTTCTTTTTTCAGCAGGAATGTTCATGATTGGGAACAGGTGGGGCTTGCTTTGTACACCAGACATGATGCATGGAGCCTAATGTGCAGAAAACAACTTTTTTTATTTCATTCTCAGCCTTTGTGGTGCTTACATCCAGTCAGAATACAGAATGAATAAACTTGAACAAACTGCTCAAGGTTAAATGAAAGGAGTCCATTCACTGAAAAAAATAACTGAGTTGCATGTTGCTATCATAAAATAAACACATTTTATGGACAAAGTTATATGTTTAAATTTAAAGTGTTATATTTCCTCATTCTGAGGGGAGAAAACATTTCTAATAAATTATAATTACAGTAATCAGAATATCTGTATTTCTTATCTTGATCTGTCAGTTAAATTATATTACTAATAAAATTAATCAGCAAAAGTTATTTTTGCAACAATAACTGGCTCTTGTGGCATTTAAAATTATCTTTCACTTTTGGTCATCCATAGAATAGAATTTCACTGGTTTTTATGAGAGTTACACCGTTTTAGATACAGTTGTTGTCTCGTTATATCTCGCCCAGTCTCAGTTAAACGAGAATTGGAGTCGCGAGACAAACACACAGCTGCTGCTGCTGCCATCATCACGGCTCTCGTCTATTCGTATTTCTTTAAGCCCAACAACAAGAGAAGCAAAATAAACCCTACGGGGTTTAGAAAAGATAACATGCCAGCCAAAAAGAAACCGGACAGTAGCCAGGGTCCTCGTAAGGGAGCACATCTCATGGACCAGGTACTACTGAATAGTATAAAATCATTTACTCCTTATTCAAACAATCATGTCAACTCCAAAATACAAACAAGAGAAGAGAGACCCATGAAAATGACAGAAGAAATACATTTTTAAATACTTTAACTTTATATAACTTAAAGGGGTGTAAAATATATATGAATTCAGTGGTGCTCGCGAAAATATTTTTTAGTGTATGTATGTTTTATTGAACTGGGCGAGGCGTAGTTGGTGCTAGAAGAAAGCGATAGAAATTATTTGAAGATAAACAGTAACTTTATTATTTACAATATAAATGAATTTCAAATAAGAAGAAGACAAGGTAATAATCACAAAAAATTAATGCCTACATTTTTGGACGAAATTAGATGCACGTATTAGAAACATAAAACTTGTTTTATTTTTAACTGAATTTAAAAAAAAAAAGTGATCCATACTGTCATGTCATTGATTCACTTGTTGAAAGTTTATTTAACATTAGTAGTTTTAAAAAATTACCTGTTTTATTCCTAAGCAGTGAAAATTTTGAGGTAAAAATAATATTTAACTTTTTAAAATGATCTTCGCTATTTATGGAAAAATTTAATTTTTACTCTTAAAAAAAAAAAAATACAGTGCCAAAACATCAGTTTTTTTTTGTTTTTTTTTTTCAATGTAGAAGAAAGTATTTTTTTGGGGAAGTGGGTACACCTGATTCTAATTAGGTTTTCCTTTTTTTTTTTTTTTTTACATGGGATACAGTATTTTGTTTCTGTAAATCTATAAATAACAAAAAAAAAAACAAAAAAACTTTTGTTTAAAAAATGAACATTCTGTTTACAGTTTTAAAAGTAGTAAGCGTGCACTGAATTTTATTTTCGTCAAATTGGCATCATTTTCCTTTCTTCATTTCTTTTCTAGTTTTCTTCATAGACGCTACTTAACTTCCTTTTCTTAAATTGTAAAAACCACACCCGACTGTAATTATTTAATGATTTATGTAAAATTAAGTGTAATAAAATTTATTTTAACAAATCTTTTGTAGAAAAAACAAACAAAAAAAAAAAAACAAAAACATGCAAACAAAAATTTAAAATATCATTTATTGCTTGAAGACAAAAAATAAAAAAAAGTAAAATCAGGTTTTTTCATGCATTTTCTTTTTTAATGGTGGTAATTTGAGTTGATTAATTCCTTTTTACATGGAAAAAATAATTTTAGTCTAATTAATTTTAACTTTTCTTTTTATTAACTCTTAACTTAAACTTTCATCTCAAAAATACTATCATTTGTCAAATGGAAGGGGGGGGGATTAAAACTTAAATTATGCGTGTTCCAAACTTGACACGGACAGTTTGTGTGTAGGTAGTTTGGATAGATAAGGAAGGAGGAATATGTTAATAAATTTCACTGCAGTAAAGTCTTCTTTTCCCACTTGAAAAAAAAATGTCTTAAAAAAGTTTATAGAGACATTTTTTTTGTTTTACATTTGTCTACTGTATATTTTATGATAAAGTCCCGTAAACGAAACACATTTACAATTACATTGTATTCAAATTCAATTGTAAGAATAGATTTTTGTTACTTTTCACAGAAAACTGAGAAAAATCAACAATACAATTGAGTTAGAAAACTCAATTGTAAGAAATATTAGTTTTTTATGATTTCAGTAATGATGCTGTTAAAAAAAACTTTTAAAAAAGGTCTCATTTGCAGTATGAGACAAGACAAAAATAAGAGGTGAAATTGATGACATACTTTAACTACATTTCTTCCACATTGTCACAAATAATATCCATCCCCACTACTCATGGCCATACATACCAGTAAGTCCAGTATTTGTCCAGTTCCCTCAGTACTCCTTTGTTAGGATTCTACCCCTTTATATGCAGTGGGGAGGTACTGTCTAGGGGAAGATGATCTCCTGGAACCAAACTTAGATTTTTGTGCTTCTCGACCCTAAAAGAGTGATTTGTGATGGTGAGAGATGGCTTTGTCTCACCTGTTAAATTAATATTTTTAAATACAGCCAAACTGGAATTGACACTTGGTAATTTTATTTTTATTATTTTAGCAGAAACTTGAGAGGAATTTTTTTTAGTTTTTCAACCAATCACTTGTCAGTTTATTGCTACTACTAATCATTGTTGAAATTTACATTTAGACAATTTCTATCTGAATTTCTGGGATGAGAAATTATTTGCAAGATTATTGTCCTCATGTCTGTTATTGTCATAACATTTGACTTTTGTACCCTCTGGCTTTCAGTGCTGGTTCTTGTCGATCTGGGTAACCTTCAGGGAATTTCAAACTGAACTTTCAATTTATTTAATCTATGAGCGCCGATTGTTCTTGTTTTGCTGACCATATCTATGGATATCTCGCTTAGTTCTTATTTTTAGTATTGCTCAGTTATTGTCCTGTTTCCACTGAGTTAGCACACACTGCACAGTCCAGAGATTGAACTCACAATTACTGTCACCAAATTCACAAACCAATGCTTTATCATTTATGCTATTGTCCCTTGGAAAGTCTATTAAAATTTTGTTTATTGTTGAGGAAAAGTTCTCTGACAATCAAGGAAAAAAAAAGTCGGGTGGTAAAACTTTATTCTTTTTGTAAAAGATAATCTCTGTAGTTGTAGTAGAGGTAAATTTATTAAATAAATTTATATTTCTAGGTATAAATAAATCATCAGTTTTTACAGTAATTTTTTCTGATATCAAATTTTTTTTTTTTTATTTTGAAAACTCATTGAATTATTTAAGTTATTTCCAAATTTAAGGTTAGTTTAAAAAAAAGATCTTTTTATTTTTTGACTTAGAAATAAATTTCTTTAAAGATTTGTTTTCTTTCTTACCTCCCACCAAATATAATTTAATCTTTTTTACTTATAACTATTTGTGATTTATAAAAAAATGTGAAAAAAAAAATGGTTGAATGATCATGCAAGACTTTTAATCATCTTTTTGTATCATCTCTATTACTACTATTATACTTATTGATTGATTGACTAGAAGAATACTTTAACCTACAAAATGCCTTTTGTTTCAACCAGATTGGATTAATGAACTTGATGATCAATATATTGTCTCTAGTCAGCATTTTTTTGTATTTATCTTTGGCATACCTCATATTATTTTGTCTAACATTATTAATCAAAAATATGTTATTCTCTTTAAGCACCATATATCTCTAGGATATTTTCTTCTCAAATCACATTGAAAACACCAATTCTTATTTGATCAAAGTTAAGCAGTGTCGAGTCTTGTCAGTACTTAGGTTGTGGGGACTACTTGGGAACATTGGGTACCGTAAGCAAACATCTACAATCCAAAATATGTTTTTAAACAACCCCAAAATGGTTGATAAGCTGTAAAAAAACAAATCAATCTTCAGGGTGTAGGCAGTTGTGGTTCTTCACAGCTTCCTTTTCTTTAATACCTGTAAACTGTGCATTGCCATGACTTTTCTTGGGGAAAACAGTTGAGTGGTTACCTGTTGCTTCATTGGTGACACTCTTTGTGACCAAGTTGGTTAAAAGTGCGTTGGATCTAACAACATTTTCTCCTGAAAAGGGGGATGCATGTTTGAATCCTATCAGGGACACATCTTTTTCTTTAATAAGATTTCTTGACTATTCAGGCCAGCAGATGAAAATAAATATAATATTTAAAATAAACAGAGTGTCTACTCAAATATGGGTATCCACTAAAAAATAATGTTTAAAGCAAAAAAAATGTATGTCATAGATGGATATGAAGGATTGTATATACTGATAAGATTGTGATGACTAAACCAGTTCTACCAATGAATAAATTTTGATAATAATTGAATGAAGATAGCAGCTATGAGGCATGCTCAAAAAGTAAGGTACAAATCAGAATTAAAACACTGTGAAAGCTGTAAACACAAAGCAACAGTGGTTATGTAATACTTCATGCAGCAACCACAACAGTCTTAATATTGAGTATATTTATATGTGACATGAAAGCAAAGATGACTGCCATCATAAAACAATGGACAAACGTGCAAGGTGTAAAAAGATATTTTAATGTCAGTGAAAATTCACTGTGAATTTGTTGCCTATAGCAAACAATGTAATGAACAGGATGCAGATATTGGTCTAGTGTAGTGCATTCATAGAGTAGCAAACACATCTCTTGTGTAAAGTATCCATGTTCATCAACAACAAAAGACAATATTGCATATGTTGAATATTTGATTTGAGATTATAGAGAGCACAAACTTGATCTTCCAAAGTCATTTAAGAGAAGTTTGCATAAGTGTGTCATCTTGCTGCATGACAACACAGCCAATCTGACAAAAGAATGTCCTCAGTGAAATAATTGAAATATTTTATATCTAATGTAGAGCCATGACTCCTTGGTTTCTTCAGATATCATTGGTTTAGAGACCTCAAAGATGTCTGAGCAGCAGTTCCATGCATAGGTGAAAGGGTTGTTCCAGTCACTTGATGTCATGTTCTTTGAGGAGGGAAGTTATTCATTTGTGTACCAATTGGATGAATGCATGAATCTTGATAGCAACTAAGGAAAAGTAGCAATGTAGTATTGTTAATATTTACAGGGTTTTATTTGTATTGTAAATCATTTTTTTTGTATATATATATATATATATATATATATATATTTCTTGTGGCATGTAGTGCACCAGGTCTCTGTATTCAGCCCTTCAAAAAAGTGTGGATGGTCCTGCATGAAACCATCACCACTATAATCAAATCTTGTGCTGTTGGTTTCCTAGGAACTGATCTGCTTGACCCTCATACGTTGAATTCGACGGGAGAGTCAAGTATATATACATACACACACACACTCTCTTAAAATTTAAATAAGCTGAACTTGAGGGTAGTTAACTAAAATATCCTTACTTTCAAATATTTCTTACTGCAATTACTGACAGAATAGAGAATATAAAAAAATTCAAATTACTATTTAAAAATTAATAAAAATAAGTAAGTTACATTAAGAAGAAAGATTGGGGAGAAACACACTTTCATGTTTTATTGACAATGATTATTAAGTCCAATCATGTTTGCAAAGTGTAAGTCATACATACAAATAAGCACAATAGTATTATAATAAAAATAAGGGGTCAATTTTCAATTTGATAATACTTATTTTTGCAATAACTATGAATTAACTAATATTTTTTTTAAAAATTAATCACTATCCAATTTTAGTGATAGCACAAATTTTTCTTAGAATATTAATTCAATTTTCTACATCATATGTTACATATTTCTACTTTCATCTCATGATGATAATGACTGCAAGTCTAACTTGTGTTACTGAATGAATCAATAATTCTTTTGTATAATCTCGTATTAAAATAGTCGCTGGTCCATGTACTCATCTTTCAACTGGTTGATTATTGCAGATTCATTGTTGGCATATATTTTTTTTTTTTTTTGTCTGTTGCAAGTAGAATACTAACTTTGAGTTCTATAATAATATAGCTCAATGATAAAAGTAGTGAACTTCATAGTATAAGGTCTGCTGTTTCAAATTCATTGAACTAAATTTGACAGAATGAAAGTTTTTGTTTTATTTTTTCAGCCAAAAATTTTGTGGGATTTTAAAAATTTTTTTTTTTTTTTTTTAGCTCAGAACAACATTCTAACTGGTATTATAGATATATTTTTTATCAATCCTAATTTTACTAATCATTTTTTTTTTATATTTAACTTAAAAACTTAATTTTCCTGCTCTGTTTAAACAACAGAATGTTTGACGTAGGGGATATGTCACTTGCTTATCTTCAGGCTAGACATTTGAATCTTTTATATCTATTTGCTTTAATATGATAAGTTATGAACAGAGAAAGAAATATACATAAAAAATGTTACTGTTCATATTTTGTGATCGTTGTATAATTTGAGCTCATAACTTTTATTTTTATCTATTCACTACAAAATTTAGTTTATGCCTGCTTTAAGTTATAGAGATGTGAGATAGTTTGCATGACCTTTACGCCCAATCGTTAACTTTAAAATTCATCAGAATATGAAAATAGGAAAGCCATGAAATTTTCTCAAGTTAAAACTAGTATATATTATTTTCTAACTGAGTTCTTATGCCAGTAAAAATGTGTGTGTGTCTGTGAGAGAGAGAAAATGATATTTAAATTTAAAAGATTAAGATTTCAGTGTCTCCCTCTCCTTCATGTTTATGTGTAGTTATATGACCTAAACATCACTTTAGTCCAATGATGTTCTGAAGGACAAAACATATCATTTAAACTTTGTTTTCACTTAGTCATTGATTCTACTTATATATATATATATATATATATATATAATCTGTAGTAATTTTCTGTAGTTTAGTGCTAACAGCAAGCAGAAATATTTCTCCTCCTGATGATGGCCATTTTGGTCGAAACTAGTCGAGGAATCTAAATGGAATAATAATAAAAAAAACGAAAGAATATTAATCTACAACCCAGTGTGTCTAAAGATTTTAATTTTTTAAAATATATACACACACACACACACACATTTGGTAGGTAAGTATTGCACTACTAATGTGTTGGAGGAGAGATGAGTTTACTAGCTTCTAGCACTAATAAGGTTAATACTTTATTGTTACGGTGTATCAATTACTTTCTAAGTATTAAAAAATGGAACTGATATTAAAAAATAACTAGTTGTAACTATAAGTAGGATTTATCAAACAGATATTTTTATTCACTCTAATGATTGCATGACACAGTAAATTCTCCAATAAAGGAAACAAATCATATTTTAACACTGACTATATTTAAATCTGATATATATGTAGGCAAGGTTTTGGCTTTCTTTTTATTTCTTACCTTTTAGCATTGTTTTGCATGAGTCATTTTCAACATGAACAAATTAAATATTTTTGGTAGTAGAGAAATATGATTCAATAAGTAATAAATTTTGAAAATTTTAACCTGAGCATGTTCACCCAGTCTATATGTTGTGCATTAAAAAATAAGATTGTAAATGATAGGGTATTAATATAAGAATTACTAACAGAAACTGGCTATAATTTAATGATTTACTATGGAAATGCATTACAAATAATTTTATCATAGGAACTTAATAGAAATATGTCAAAAAAGCTTTTTAATCAAGGTAAATAGTTAAGTTTGGACTTTATCTAAATTTTCTAGGGTTTAAAAAAGTATTTTTTTTTTATCTCCAACTTTGATTTTATTGCTCAACCCAGGGTAGGGTTTGCTCAGTCTGAGTGAAATAGGAATTATTATTTCAGTCTTACTTTAAACTATGTGTGTACATTAAATATAAGTCGCTCATGCACAACACAGACTTATGCATATGCATACATATGTGCATGCAAAGTCACACACAATGGTTGATGGACAGAGAATAAGGTCTTCTCTTATAATAGACTTAGTAATGAAATGCTATTTTTGTACAGATTTTGATTCATTATTATTTTTTGTTTTATTTTATTTCTTGGAGCTTTATAGATTTTATCATTTAAAAAAATAAACCCAAAATGAGTTATTACATCTGAAAACCTTCCATATTGTTAAACAATATCCACAAGCTGACAGAATTTATCTAAGACCAAATTTATTCATTAATAATTTAAGCTAACATGAAAAGTTCAAAATAAAACTTGGTATAAAGTACTAATTATACAGATGATGAGAAAATAAAAACATTACTTGTGAATATCAAGATAAAAGCTAATGTTTAAATGCTGAAAAATCTATCAAAATATTTTAAATTTATCATCACACAATAGATTTGAAATATTTTTAGTCCAACTAAAAAAGATCAAAAGGTTTTATTTACATTTACTCTTTGTGTTTCTATCTCTATGATATTTCAGTGAAATAATTGTTTAAGAGAATCACGAGAAACAATTGATAAACTGAATTCAAACTGTGGCTGTGGCAGTTTGTGTTCATTTTACACTAATGCCTTTGGAAAAAGCATAAATCCATCTTTTCTAATAAATGGGGTTAAAGATGATGTCAGTAAGATGTCATCTTTAACCCCATTTATTAGGAAAGGTGGATTTATGTAACTTAGTTACTAAGTTACATGATACCAGCAGTAAATCATTATCAAGTATGATTAATTTTTCACTAGTATTTCTTTCATCTTAATTTCAGTTGCTGTTTATCACATTTACTCAGACCTTCATAATTAACAATTATTCATTATCTAATAACAATTCAAAGTAATATTAGAATGTCATGGTATTGATATTAGTCTAGTTAATTTTTGTCTCTGGTCTCAGTTTTATATATTTATTACTATATCTTTTTTCTTCCTTTAGTTTGGAATTGGAATGAATATGCATGATTTTGAATCCATGCTTTATGATGATGATGACGATATTAATGATGAGGACCTGGAAGCTGAGTTAGCAGCATTGCAAGGAGAGGATCTTCCTCGCAAAAAAGAAAAAACAAAAAGGAAAAGTAAGTATCCTTGCTTATCACATGGAGATGATGGAAAAAATACATCTCTTTGGAATTTGACTAACCATCCATTTCTGGATGTATAGATATACAAAATTGTAACTATTCATTTTAAAATCTAAATTTAAGAACCATTTTACAACTTGTTTACATGTGAGCCACCTTTGGCATTAAGACAACATAAATTGACATTGTAATATTACACTAAGCTTTTTTCATGCCCAAATAATTCAGCTTACACCTGTGTTCTCCAACCTCAAACAAAGATTTATATAAGTAAAATGCCATTAAACCTCTTGGCATCCACATAGAAAACAATTTCAAAGAACTCAAACTAAACTCTTTTCTAATACTTGAATTCATTCTCTCAAAAACTCTTTCCTGGGTAATAAAACAGTCCACTGTAATATTAAGGCTGGCAAAACACTTTCAAATTAAAACCGATGCAACTGTATTCATGGAAGAAATTCATATCCTACAAAAACATACAAATTGATAGCTCCAAAAATATTGATAGAGTTGGATGTTCATCTATACTAAATGAAACCATATTTCAAAAGCGCCTACCTGACAAATCCTCAATTTTTTAGTGCAGAAGCTATGGCAATAGACCTAGTGAGTCAGACAGATTCATTATATTCTCAGACTCCTTATCTGTCCTTACATTGCTGAAGTATAAAAACCCTGATCAACCCTATCATAGTCAAACTTTTAAGCAAAATCAATTTACTTTGTAATCAAAAACACATCATATTCTCAAGCCATAAAGGCATCCAGGGAAATGGCAAGGCAGATAAGGCAGCTAAAAAATCAGTAAAGATGAATATATCAAAAGCAAATGTTCCTCATACAGATTTCAAAACAGTAATACATATGTCTTAAATAAATGGCAAGTATTATGGAATACTCACCCGAATAATAAATTGTGCCAGAATCAAACCCGCACTATGACACCAGACTTTCCCGAAGAGAAGTAGTAGTCTTAGCAAGAATCGGAATTGGTTATACCAATTTCACACATTCTTTTCTCTTAAAAGACAAGGATCTGCCCAAATGCTATAGTATGCCAGGAGACATGCACTGTGAAACATTTTATGATGGACTGTGCCAAATTTGACTCTATTCGTAAATGCTTTTATAAGGTGAATAGCCTTAAAGATCTTTTTGAAAATGTTAGTGAAGAAACCATTTTGACCTACATGAAGAAAAGTAAATTATACACCAAAATTTAATTAAAAAAAAAAACTTCATCTTAGATGAACTATACAACTATCTTCCAATTATATTTCACAAAGTTTAGAACTTAAAACTTTGTAAGAATCAATTAAAACCAATTAAAAGCTTAAAATGTTCACCTGTTTGCTGATAAACTACATTTTCTAATTAAATGTAAATGTTTCACAAATATATTTTGATTAAAGTAACAGTATTTTATATTTTTTTAACCCTTTTGCATCTGGTCTTAATATTTTGACCAGGTGTGTATACCCAACTGAAAGTGAACTATGTAAAATAAGTAAAATAATACTAGAAAGAATTAACTCAAAACTAAGGAAAAAGTTAGGAGTAAATCAGTGGAAAAACACAAAAACAAATATAGATTGGTTCTGCAACTTAAAAAATAAACATAATTACAAATTTATACAATTAGATATAAAAGATTTTTATCCTTTTTATATCTGAACCCATGCTACATAAGGCCGTCTGCTTAACTCAAGAACAAATAAAAATAAACACAAACAAAATAAAAATCATTAAACACTTTCAAAAATCACTAATATTCACTAACAAAGGTATGTGGATAAAGAAAGAAGGAACTTTTGGCATTACAATGGGAAGCTTTGATGGTGCAGAAATGTATGAATTTTTAGGTATACATTTACTGCTTGAAGTAAATTGATAAAAGTGCTATAAGCCTCTGCAGGGACAACAGTCTCATAATCTTAAGAAACTGTAACAAAACAAAAACAGACAAAATCAGAAAAATAATCATAAAAATTTTCCAGAATATGGGATTTGAAATGGACATAAAAACAAATCTAAATGAAGTAGATTTCTTAGATATCACATTCAACCATATAGAAAAGCTAAGATAAACCACTTTACATACCCCCCCCCCAATCAATAATCAAGCAGATCCCACAATCAATTAAATTAACTGCAGGTTATCTGACAATTCTTCCAGTGAAACCATCATCAATGAAGCTAAGAAAGATAATGATACTGCCCTAAAAGATAATGAATTTTCAGCAACACTCACATACACACTGCACATACCAGAGATTGATACTGTCCTCCCATCCAGACCACAGGATGAACGAGGGACATACAAGGTGCAAAATCTTGTCTGGGTCAAGGACTCAAAAGATAGATGTACTACAAGATTCAAAGTAGGCCGTGTGACTGGAGTTAGCAGTCAGTGGAAGTTAGAGTACTGTCACGTAAAAGGTAGGATCAACCTCACCAAAATCCAATAAAGATTCATCTGTCAACAAATCACCTGCAGATGAACCAGCTTTACCAAGCAGTCTCCCTATCATCAGCAGTCATGGGACTGATACAAGAATGCCTCATGAACTAGATAACCAAGCTGGAGCTATCCCCATCAGAAGCAACCTATGGCAGTACTTTTTGTGATCACAACATTGTGGAGATTGTTGTGAAATAGGACCAAGAAATACTAATTTATCCATGGCTAAGAGGCTATGAGGTCTTGCCTGCTAAGTTGGAGCCGCTATATGCAATTTAGTCTAAGTGTATGCATGGTTCTAACTCTTTTAAATCGCTAATTTGCATGTGTGGTCAAAAACCTGAACAGACAAGTAGGAAATCAACTTTTTGGGGTCCAGGTTTATTGTGACTGTCTACTATACTTCAGAATATGTTGGTCTTACATCAAAACTGGCAGTAACATGATGTGTTCTCACTTCAAGTCCTCCATGTATTTTTGAGAATGTTTGATCATTTATGAATGTTGGTGTTCTTCTGTGAACAGGTTTACTTGAGTGGCTTGAAACACCAACTTGCATCAACAGTTTTTAGTGAATGCAAAAGCAGAAATCCAGAAACAACTGTCATACACAGATATTCAGGTTCTTGGAGATGGTGAATGTAACAGAATTTAAGAGGTTTTGTATGTGTTTAGACTTGTTCTTGCTTAAAAGACTTCCTCAAGTAACAAAATAACACTTCAAAGAAGCCTGAATCATCATTACACCAGCTCTTCACAAACTTTTGGATCTTTCTGAGGAACTAATTGAACTTAATGGAAGTCATGGTATTTTGAAGATTGACAAGTCTGAATTTGTGGGGAAACAAAATTCTTCATGGAATTAGATGAAAACTAGCAAGAAAAGTATCTCAAAATACCACTCTTGCAGATACAATTGGAAGTCCCTGTGTTTAGTAATGATGTTTTATTTGAACGTTTATTTTTATAATAATTAGGTAGGGAAAATAGAGATAGATTCATGCCTTTCCCAGGAGCATTAGCTTGAAAGTGAATACAGCGAAGTAGGTTGAAATCTGCTCATCACTTCTAATTTCCATGCTGATAATTGTTACGCTACTTGCACATAATCACGAATATTGTTGTCAAAATTGTTCACTTTATTTAGAAATGAATTAGAAATGATACTTTCAAATCAGTGAATTTGGTATTACTTTTTAAAAGATAAAATTATTTATGACAATGTAAAATGTTCCAATTTTCATGTCTTTTGCTTATTGTTACCAATTGACTATTGTTATCTAAAAGATCCTGTATGAAAGTGATCATGAGAAACTAATAAAATTACTTTTTACAGATTTATTATAATCTGTAAAAAGTAATTTTATTAGTTTCTCATGATCACTTTCAGACTGTCTTTTAGATAACAATAGTCAATTATTTATTCTACTATATACCTCCCATCACATTGTGTGTGTACATTAGGGTAGGTCGATTTTGGAACTATAAAAAGAATAACTCGAGGAAAGTTGCAAAATAACGTCAAAAATTACCACAAAAAATATTTTTCTTCAAAACTTCGTATTTATTTGAGCAATCGAACTTAAAGACAAAATAAATTGCGAATTTTTTCATCATAACGGTGTCACCGGAGACATGTGTATGTTAAATTAAAACCGAGTCTTAACGAAAAGAAAAAAAGAAAATAACGCTTAATAATGGATATTTTTGAGTTTATTATCTATTCTCTTATTAAATTAAATGAAATTACTACAAATAAAAAATAAAACACACTAAAATATTTGGTTTAAAATACAAATAACTACTCATGAACGGCGTCGTTTATACTGGATATTTTTTCGGTATTTACCGGTAGTAATTACCTCCTCTTGTATGTTCGTTTTATTTTTGTTTACGCTTTTAACTAACGCAAATTTTTTATTTTTCATCAAAATATACTTAACTATTTAAAAAAAAAATACAACTTTTATAATTATTGTAATTTGTTTATATTTTGAAAATTAATGTTTTATTAAAAATCCTGTTTACAAGCTAATCCCGGAACTAACTCTACTTTTATATAAACATTACTTTTTTTTAATAATTCATTTCAAGCTTTATTTTCCAATTTATTTTGAAAAATATTTTTGTATAATTTCTGATAATACATATATTTTCTTTGTCAGATATTTTAATAAAATGGCAGGAAAAACATCCCCTGGGGTTTAAGATACCGTGAAATTTTGATAAGGCTATATAGCTGCTAGCCTTATCAAAATTCCACGGCATGCTGTTGAGTTGATCAGGGTGATGTATCTTACAATCTTGGAGCCAGCCTTGCCAATGCCATTGCTCTTGGATTTGAGGGCTATGGGCTTTCTCATCCCCAATATTAATATAAAAAGATATTTATATAGATAAATGTAAAATTGATAGAGCAAAGGTTAAAGTGAAAAAAGTGATATTTTGCATGAATTCAAAAGTGCGAGCACTATCAAGGCTATCCTTGTTGACAAACACTAATGCCAATTCAGGTTGTGAAGGTGGATTTGCTGCACCTCTAGAAAGAAAACTTAACAGAAATCTTCATACTATTGGTTGCTCCTTGCACCAAAATAAACTTCCATTTAGAGCTCTTTTTAAACATTTTTAACAAAATAGCCCTGCCACATTCAATGGTCCACTTGGAAGATTACGTGCAAATGATTACCATAATTTACCCCAAATATCATTTTCAGCTGTTGACAGTCCTCTGGATTCTATTTTTAAAATTGAAAATGCAGATACCCTTAGTTGTGACCAAAGACTCCTTTATGAATATACAGTGGATATTTGTAGAGGTAAGGTGGACTTTAGATTTGCATCATGGAAAATTGGGCCATTAAACCAGTCAAGGTGGTTAACTTTAGGCATCAGTCTGATGTGCTTATGGACTCATGGTGCATACCCACGAAAAAATTAAAAAGAATCACAACTATCAATTTTAAAGCTATGCACTGGAGACAGTTAAAAGATCTGTCATTAAGTGGAATTTGTGAACCACCACTCACAGAAGAATTTTCTGAAAATGAACTTCGGGAATAATTATTAAATGGTACGAAACTTGACTTGCCAGATTTGCCCTCACATTCTCAAGGCATGGAACGGGCAGTCAAGTTAACAACAGAAGTTTCCCAATCTGTGTATGGCTTTGAAGCAAGGCACCAACACATAATATCAAAAGATTTGTGTCAGAAATTGTGACCATCAATTTCATCTGAGGGTTCTTATATGGAGCTATTTGACTCTATATATTAAGCCCCATTAAACTATTCTTTACTTTTTCATATTTGTTTGTTTGTTGTATTTTCATTCAAACTAGAAAAAAATCAATTTTTTAATGTATTCAACTAATACTGCTTAATTCATGAGGTAAAAACAGCATTTCAAAATCATCAGTGATAGGGGAGGGGCAAATTTTCAATTTAAAATTTATTTATAATTTCTACATTTTATTTCATTTTGCTAAAACAAAATAACAACATTCCCTGATTTAAATAGTGAAATTGTTTGTTTTTTTATCAATATTTAGTCTAAATCTTGCAAAATCGTGGATTTTTCAGTGCTTTTTTGTCTACGATCTTTGATGCCAAATGCTCAAAAAACCGTTGAAGTGACAAATCTAATTTTTTGTATCAGTACTTAACTGGTCTATACACAACTTTCCGTACATTATTCTTTTTGATATTTTTAAAAAAAGACAAAAATCGACCTACCCTAGTGTACATATATAAGGTGTTTAAATGTTCTCAGCCAGATCAAAGGATTAAAAAAATTCTAATCTTTAGTCATTTGATCAGTAAAATATGTTTCTATTTCAATTTCAATAGGTCATTTAAATATTTTACTTCTAAATGAACTAGATAGATTTTTACTACTTTTAAGGGGAATTCTTTTAAACTTTAAGAATATTAATTCTTTCTAGGTATTATCAAATGATATTTTCTAGTTTTTTCTAAAATATTAAAATACTTTAAATATTTTAATGATTTGATTGATTAGTTGTAAAAGGTTTCATGCCTTCTCTCAGTAATATTGTTATTTTTATGATTTTGTTATGCTATTTCAGATTTAATGCCCTTTGATGATATAAATAAAATGGCTGCTGAAAGTTTAAGAGACATTCCAAGTGATGAAGATATTTCTGACACAGAAGACCCAGAATTGTTGGTAAGTCAAATTCCTATCATGATTTCATTCAGTTTGTTCACTGTATCATTTGTCAGTATCTGACTTGCATAGAATTCAGTGGCTTTTAGAATAAATCAGGTTTTGATGTGTGGGTATTTTTCTCTTAAGTAAAAACATATTTGATATTTTTTTTATGTCATATAGGATAATTCTGAATTGATCACTTTTAATCATTAGAAATAAAAACTTGCTTTAAGTGACAAATTAACCAGATTACTTATCTTTTCCAGAGGTTTATAGTTATTGTGAATTTGATTTACTTTGTCTTCTGGAAAATTACTTAAAGTCTTCACTGATATCTATTATCTATATATTAATTGCTTGTTTGTACCTACCTACATAATGCATATTTTTTGCATTCCTCTAATGATTAAGTTGCATCTTATTAACTACAGAGCCATTAAGATGGAAAGTTTCAATGGTGACTATCAATATGGTCTAAGGCCATGTTTTACCAAGGTTAAAATATACAAGGTCTGATCAAAAAGTATTGGGACTGTTGCTAAGGTAATGGAGTATGCAGTGTGAAGCCACCTGGCACAAGTTGCCCTGGAATCTGTCAAGCATGCACACTATTATAATGTTCTTGCTCAATTTTAATGTTTATAGCAGTGTTTGGAAGGAAAGTGTGTAGAGTGTGGTCGTCATCCCATGCCACAGAGGTTCCATCGGTGAATATGGCAGAGAAAATTTAGCAAAGAATCTGCATCAAATTTTGCCCAAAACTTTGTGATACTTGTGCAGAGACCTACACAGTTGCAGAAAGTGTATGGCAAGGAGTCTATGAGTAGGACACAGGTGTACAAGTGGTTCAAATGTTTCCAAGATGGCTGACAAAATATAAACAGTGATGCATATTCTGGGAGACCTGTAACCAGCAGAACTGAAGAAAACATTGCAGAGATGCATGCAGCTGTTTGGAAAGACCATCAAATCACCATGTGTGAGTTGTCAGGGGATGTGAACATTAGTTACAGTTCAGTTCATTCCATTCTCACTGAACATTTAGGGTATGAGATGTATGTCTGCCAAATTTGTGCCAAAACTGCTCTCATTTGACCAATAAGAAAATCAGGTTTCAGCTGAGCAGGATCTCCTTGATTGTGTCAAGGAAGATGAAAACTTTTTGAAAATGGTCATAACAGGTGAAAAATTGTGAGTCCATGGCTATAACTCCAAAACCAAGGCTCAGTTTTTGCAGTGACACCAACCTCTCCAAGATCAAAGAAAGCACAAACAAGTTGAAACAATTTGAAAATACTGTTGACAATTTTCTTTGACTACAAGGACTTTGTTCATCATGATGTGTAGTGGCATTTTTGATAGAATTGACAATGCACCTGCCCATTCAACACAGCCTGTACAGCAGTTTTTGGCCATGGACAATATTCCCCAGGTCTAAGAACCACCAAATTCTCCATATCTTGCCCCTTGTTATATTTTCTCTTTCTAAAAATCAAATCCCACTTGAACAAGATTTCAAAATGTCAAGAAAATCCAAGAGAATGCAATGAAGCAGCTGCTTACTATCTTAAAAAAGGAGTTTCAAGAATGTTTCCATCAGTGGAAACGATACTGGATAAAGTGTGTGTCTTCAGAAGGGGACTACTTTGAAGGAGATTAAATGTTGAATTGATATGTGTTGTAGGTTTTTTTTTTTTATAGCACCAGTCCCAATAATTTTTTACTAGAGTTTGTATTTGTCACTTTGTATTTAGTTCTGGTTAATATCAAAATTTATTTTTCATGTGTCAAAAAAAAATGACAAAGAAATGTTGTTGAACATTATATCAATTTTTAATTATTTTCATTTTGTTTTTGTAATAAGATGGCAAGAGGAGCATAAAGGTGTGAAGATTCGCATATTTTTTGTTTATTAATTGTTAACACTGAGAATAGAAGAACACAATGTTATTGGCATAGTTTTATTTTTTTTTATTTTCATTGTAAAATATCTGGATTCAACACAAACATTTGTGTAATTCATGCAGAATTTAGTGTAAATTATTAAATATATCAAAAGTGATTTTCAAAGTTTTGTGCTAGAGATTTATTGCTGAACAATACTTTGCAGTCAAGTTGGCCAGGTGAGGTTGATAGCAAACACATCATGATGTTACCGATGAAACTAACATTATATAATATGGTAGATAGTCAACATACTTAAAATATCCAAATCATTCATTGAAAATCTTGCACATTTATAAGTCTACCATTTGTCCATATATTGAATATTGTTGTGACATTGTCTGGTGCTTTTGCTATGTATTTAGAGATTCTTGATAAAAACCAAAGAAAAATCTGCAATGTTTTTGATCCTGACTTGGCATCTTGGCTTCGATCAATTTCCCACAGTCATAATGTAGCTTTCTTGTGACTTTTCTATAAATATTTTCATGGTAATTGTTCTGACGAGCTTTCCTCTTTGGTACTTCAACTTTACAAATTGAAGCCCAGTACTAGATTGGTTGCTAGGTTTCATCATTTTACAGTTGAAATGGCTAGATGTAATTGTCAATTCTATACTTACATATTCTCACACTTCTTGCTTGTGGAACTCTCTTCTGATTTCTTGCTTTCTATTCAACTCTGATCTTCAAAAATTTAAATGCAATGTCAATTGTTACTTTTTGTTTCAATTCCTATTCTTTTCTTGTTCTCTCTCCTTAATGTTTTTCTTTTTCCATATTCATTCACACTGAGTAACCCCCTTGTGTCTTAGTGGCTTTATTGTATTGTTTGGGGTGAAATGATAAAAAAAAAAACAGGAATGATGAACAATATTTTTTTTTTTTTCAATAAAGATTAAAGAATGTTTTCAGGGGATAGTTTTGATATCTTTCCAATGTCTAATGAATAGATTAATTGAACCAGTTTAGCTATCTCTGTAATTGCCATTGCTGATTTATTGCTGAAAAATACATTTTTATTCAATTTAAATATTTTGTCAATTATTCCATTTATTATCCCTAACTATTTTCTTAACATCTTTTAGTATATGTACCATATATACTCATGTATAAGGTATAGTGCAACACCTGAATTTTTTGCATGAATTTTTTTTTTTTTTAAACATTCAAATTTTTTTCTTGTCTTCCATTTTACTTAAATATGCTAAAAAGCTGAGTAAATCCTTCAAATCTGTGAGTAAAGTCAGAGGCTACAATTAAACACTTGAAAATATTCATGACACTTTTTTTGAATTTGAAAAATTTAAACTTTATATTTTTGACATGATGTTTTGAATTGCTGAAAAGTTATCTTAACCTTTTGCAGATAAGAAGCATCAAACAATATGAGTATTTATTTGCCTCCAAATAAGGGCAAATTAAATACACGGTCAGGTTTATTTTTTTTTTTTTTAGTGTTCACAATGTATGAGGCATTTTTTGTAAGAGTTCCATTTGAGGTCTGGATTGAGTTTTAAGGTCCAATAGTCATTCAAAGCATGGAGCCTCCCTGATATTGATAAAAGTTCTGAGTCTGATTGGTTATGGTGGGAGGTCAATTGTTTGATCTTTGAGGCATTGAATATGACTAGCCAGTTTTTTCTCCACTGAGCTGCTAGAGTTAGGTCAGAGGAGAGATCAGCTGGCAAGCTCTGATTATCGAGTGTGAGTAAAAGGGGGAAAAAAATTGTTTAAGTCCTGATTTTACTTTGAATGCAATAGGCAGGTATAGCCTGTGAAAAGGAGTTTCCTGATACTAAACAGTGGCTGAGATGCAGAGAGAAAGAGGTGGGGAGAAAGCAATAAATGAATGAATTGCTCCTTGTGTGAGTGTACTAATTCCCTTTCCAGAATCAGGTACTTAATTGTTTTTAAGTATATAATTTATAGCCAAGATATGGGAGAGAAAGTGTACTTGTCAATTTTTATATGATCACTCATAATAAAAGATATGTTTAATCAGTTCAAGTTTTCATAGACTTTTAGGTAAATACCTTTTACTATTTTTGTATTGTTTATATTCATATTCATGTCTGTGTGTGTGTGTGTATATATATATATATATATATATATATATATATACACATATATTTTAATCTCCTTATTTAGTTAGAACTCTCAAATCTGACTCAAGAATCTCCATCTCCTCCACCACTTCCATCTCGGACATCAGCCCCTTCTCAAGTTCCAGGATCCTCTCTTCAGTCTTCTCCTGAGAAAAGTTCCCAGCAGCCCCCAGCAACAGCAAAACCACAAGATATTGTATCCCTGCTCACAGATCGCGTTGCAATGTATCGCACAGCTTATGAAAATGCTTCTGCTACTAGTGACAGCTCCAAACAGAGGAGGTTGAATAGAGGAATCAAGGTAAGTGTATTATTTACTTGTGGGTTTTTTTTTTTTTTCACTTGAAATTTTTTTGAAAATTGATTGATTTTTTAGTTGTCTGTTTGCATAAAGGTGTGGGTTAATTTATTCAATATTAGTCATAAAAGTAATGTACCTAGTTTATGGCAAATGATCACATCTACATGTCAATATGTGTGCATGTTCGGAAATAAGAGGTGTATCAACAGACCCCATATTAAGACACACTATATCCTACTTGGGCATTCACACAGGCCTCTACTCTCACATGTATATATTTGTATAGATATTGGAGACCATCCTTAAGTACATTATTCCATGCCCTTGCACATGTTGATGTAATACAACAAAGAATTATAGTTGGTCTAATTGAATGAATCAGGCATAGTTTTATATATGTTTAATGGATAACATATCTAGTGATCAAGCTGGTCAGGGAAGAGTAAATTGAGTAGCATGGGCATCATGTGGGCAGACATTATCCTGCTGGAAAAGCACATTGCCTTCCTGTTGTAGGATTGGCTGTAGAATAGATTGAACAGTGTTCTGGGTGTACATGGTGCTGTTTAATGTTATCTCCACAAATACCAAATGTGAATGAGAGTTGTAACTTATAGTACCTCACACTATGATGATAGAAGTTGGGCCTTTGTGAATACACTTTATAAAATGAAGCTCCCTAAGACTATGTCACAAACTAATGACTATCATTTGCATGAAAGCAAGATCTGTGCTGATGGAACATTACAGAGAGCCATTTGAAACCCCGATGACTTTCTCGTGACACAACTGGAGATATGCACAGAATATGAAAAATCTGATTTGCCCATAATCCTGTTGTAAGTAAATGATTCTGTGTTGAAACTTCTGGGGATACATTTGTTCGGTTACTGCAGAACTTACAATGTGTCAATCTTGGTGAACATTGGAACTATTTGCCCATCCAGAACCTGGTTGATGGGTGTAGGAATATTCATTTTACTACTGTTGTTGACATCAAAGCATTACTTAGACATGATGTCTAACATGTGTAGAAATTCTCCAAAGTTATTATCCAGGCTCTTGAAGGCCTACAATCCAGCCTCTTTCAAACAGTACTAATTGAACAAAAGAAATGTGTGTGTGTGTGTGTGTGTGGCATGACACCAGCATGTCCTGAACTCTTTTACTACACTGAGCCTTATTACAGTATGTGTTCTCATCTAAACACCAGAATGAGTATAATTGTAACAAGTTGGTTGGAGACTGACATTTTATCAAAATCTCTACTACCCACAAGTATGCATATACTGTACCTAGGTCAAAATGAACATTGTTCTTCAGGGTTTTGAAGTTTTATTTTCCAGCAGCATATTTCTCCATGAAAGCAAAACTACATGACACTACATAATATATTGTTTATAACTTTGAAACGAGTCATTAACATTTCAGATTTTGTTTGGACAATTATAGTCTTGGGTTCTTCATATTGTTGATGTTTTGTCTGATCCATTCTTCAGCCTACTCAAAAAGACATTTCATCCTTAACGCATGGTTTGACCATCCCATGAAATACTGCATCACATGACATAGTCCAGATAACGTAACAAAAAATTGACTTCAGTATCACAGACTCTTGGATTAAGCAATTTGTGACAAATGTTAAAGTATACAACTCTTTGAATCTGATCACAGACTACTTGTAACTAACTAAACTGACAACATCAACCAACAAAATAGTTCACTTCCACCCAGATAAATCATAAAAAATACCAATACAACATCCAAATCCTTAAAAATTAAAGAGGAAATTTAGATTTCAGTAATAGTCTAAACTGCTGTCAATACATTTTAATCAAAACAATATAGAGAAATCAAATAATGTTATATCTTCATTAGCTAAAGCACATAAGACCATTCTAAGATTAACTAGAAGAAAAAAGATACACTTGAGGGATGACAATCCTGAATTTAAAAAAAAACTGATACAAGAAACAAGCAAACAAGAGGAAAAAATGTAAGGGAAAATACAACACAACAAAGAAAAAGAAAAAAAACTAGTTAATTCTTTGAGAAACCAATATCTCTGGAAAATTGGAAACAAATTAACGAAGCCAACCAGCATAGACAATGTGTTAAAATGTGGAGTAAAGCAAAAAATCATAACCTTATACAATCAAAACCAATACAGAAGAAATGTCCTGGTCTCAAAAACTACTTTCAACCCTGACCACACTAAAAATATCCAGAGTTAAAGAAAATTAACCAATATACATTCAATTATTACAAACATAAACAACAACAAACCTACTGATAATGAAATTAAGAAAGCTATTAAAAAATAAAAAATAAAAGAGCATCACTAGATATTGAGACTGAACTTTTTGAAATAGCTTACTTTTGCTTTGAATTCAATAAGTTTCTTAATTTTATAAAAGAAATTTGCAATCAGAAATGCATCCCAAAAATGTTTGATTTATTGTGTATTAGTGCCCTATGGAAACAAAGAGGTAACCCTCAAAACCCATGTACATACAGATGTATCTAAATTGTATTCATTATGGTGAAAGTAATAATGAGCATTATATTAACTGGGCTCTCATTGTTTTATAAAAGTCAAACTCTCATGACCCAATTTGGATTTTGTTCTAGTAAGGGTTGTAATGATGGCACAAACAATTCCAGGAAATAGCTTACCTCTAAAATGAAATTGTATACTTGCTATGTTGACTTCTCATCAGCATATGGTCACACACTTCTCATCTATTAGAAACCACCTTTCATGTTCTGAATTCATAAATCTAATAGAGTAACTTTATTGGTTCTCAAAATCTTACATGTCTGGTGAGGACCCTACTATGGAAACATTTCAAAGCTCATCAGGAGTATGACAAGGAGGAAATTATAGTCCCAGTCTATTTAATCTTTTCCTAGACTATGTTGTGCACATTTACAAGCATAAATGTGAAGAAATGGGCACTGATCATTTAAGCATTCCATACCACATTCCAAATAAATCAATTAATAGAAGGCAGCAATCCTACTTTCCTTCCTGAGGCCAATATACTGATGATGAGTGTCGGCTATGTCAACAACATATGTATTCATAGTTGGGAAAAGAACAAAAAAAATTAACTTCCTCTACTAAGTATTCTATGAAATAGGACTCAAAATAAACCTTTCCAAAACAAACAATGATCTGAAATTGGAATGAAAGCACTGATTGCACTGATACCCTGAATCGATCATAAAAATTCAGGATGTGGAATTAGTAAATATGAAGCACTTCAAATACCTCAGTGACTGGATCACTTATAACAAATATGGTACATGAGATAAGGAAATTGAATATAGAATAGGTTGTGCTAAAAGTAGTTTTGCACAACACCACAAGTTACTATAAAATCAAAACATTAATTTAAAAACTCAAGTCATGTTCTGGAATAGCCTCATCAGATTGAAACTTTCATATGGGTTTCATGCATGGTGTGAAATCCATTCAGAAACATCTAAACTGTCAGCTGTATAAAATTGCTTTCTAAGATCAATGATTAAAATTGACTTTGTGCAAGTGAAGCCTGTGGATCTTGATGAAAACCATCCTTCTTGGATTGGCTCTACAGAATCACAAGGAACTCTACTAGATAACAGAAACATCATCACTTGAGCAACAGCTAAAATGGATATCACATGTAACTCAAAGGAAAAAGACATAATCCAGATAATCCCACACTATTTCAAATAAAAGGTTAAGAAGAAAATCCACGTATTTGTCTCGTGTAAGAAAAAAAAATGCAGATAGCTGAAAAATTTTCGGTTGGGAAATATACTGGTCTTCCATGTCTTTAACTTAGCTTATCACATTTATTAACCCAAACATTCATTTAAGCTTGATACTCCTTTTGTGTTACTTTCACCAAAAATTAATTGATGCCTGTTTCTCTTTACAGACTCTGCAAGAGCTTCTAAGGAATGCCCAAGCTGGCCGTCCTATTGATGAAGACTCTATTCCACCTCCTGTTGCTGTAAAGGCTCGGGCCCCACCTTCATCTCTTCCAACATCAGCTAAAGTGCCTAATCAAGCAGATTTAAAACCTTCAGAATCTGCTTCACAGCCAACTCCACCATCTTTGCCAGCTCGAAGTAAATTATATTCTATTTTTGATTTTATCTTATATCAAATTTCTATAAAGACTTAGTAATCTGATATTTGATGATAATAATCTTAACTAATCCCACATGAGTAGAATTGATGTTTTTGTTTCTTGTTTCATCTATGGAAAGAATAAATTGTATGGTGCCTAAACTTAGATAAAGACTCAGGATTTATTTATACATTTTTTCTATATTAGTTGAATTTATTTTGAAAATACGTTTTAAAAAATTTTCACATCATAAACTTTTTTTTTTCTAAAATATCAAATTTTCAATGCTTCAAAGTAAGTAGTAGGGCTTTTATTTTAAAATATCAAAGGTTATTGCCTTGTTTAATTTTGATCAATATTCAGTCAATAAAATTTTAATTTAGGTGATTTTTTTCTTTTTGTAGACTGTTAAGTTTTCCGTATATTTGGCATATGAAATATATCTTTATTATTTAAAAAATTCACTTATTTTAAATTCTTTTAATATAGAGAGAGGATTAGTTAAGAACAAATTGCAATTTGACTAATTTTGAATTATCTCTTATTAGTGCTGACTTTTTAAGGATAACAGTGGCTTCATATATAATATTTTCATTAAAAATCAAAGGTCAGTGTAGATTTAAGAATTTATGAAGGAAATATGTTTGAATGTGTTACATAGTTTTAATAGCATCCTGTTAATTAAAGCTTTCTGAGTCTTGTGTATCATTACAGTAATATTTTTTATTTTATTAGAATTAATCTTATCTAGACAGTTATATTTTAAATATGCTAATAATTTTGTATTCATTGCTATATTTAGACACTATCCACAAATCAAAATTTATTTGTTCAGATGTTGTTTCTCCATCTGCTCCTTCACCTCCGTCTCCAAGTTTGAGGTCTGGTGAGATTCCCTCACCGAGCAAGTCTCCAATCCCGGCTCCAAGGACTCTAAACAGTTTGGAATCCCCTGGGCGTAAACCTCCAGCTCCAGGGGCTATTCCAGTACTTCCCTCACCTCCTTCAGTTCAACCAAGAGGCCTACCAGGAGCCAAATCTCCAACATCTGCCGGTGCTATTGCACAGCCTAAAGCATCACCAACTCCTTCTCCGAATGCATCTCCAGCACCCCACAACCAAAGGCCTGTTGCTTCTTCTGCACCCAACATTTCTAACCTTTCTGCATCAGGTAATACCATAAGATTTGATTTTTTTTTTCTTGTGAGAGTAAATGTTATAAATGAATTTTTATAAATTCACTCTCAGTTTACTTTAAACAGTGTTATTGGTTCACTCTTCTCAGTAGGAATACTGTCATTTCAACAAAGACGACAAAAAGACAATCTTCAATTTTTACTTACTATAGAATTTACATTATTTTTTAAGAAATTTTCTTTCTGTTCAGACAATCATCGCTAGTAAAGTCATATTCCTTCACTTCTAATAGGTTTCAAGTATGCCACTTACTTTCAGTAGAATAAATTTGTTAGAAAATAGTATAATTATATATATTGAAACCTTTCTAATGTTAATCTATGGTGATTTTTTTTTTTAGAATTTTTTTAGAATTTCAAATAATCTAATTGCTGAAACAATAAGAATAAAATTGTTCAGTGATAAAACATATACCTTTTTAAAAAAAATATATCAAAAAATATGCCAAGCAGATCAGTATACTGTGAATTTTAGCTGTTTCATAAACAACACTTCATTTCTTGTCTCTTAATGAATTAATGAAAGTCAACCATTAATTCGAGATAAATATCTTTAGTTGGATGGTTATCAAGTTCATTTCTGACTAATTTGTATGTTGATGTTTTTTTCTCATTGTGTGCCCAACTGCTGTAGCTTTATACCAGATTAAACTAGGTAACTCCACAGATTTTCAATATCTAAGGTTTAAAATTAATTTTTAAAAATGAAAAAAAATCTTTCTGGAAGCATTTTTAGTTTTAAATTCAAGCTAATAGATTAAATTTAATATTTCCAATAAGTAAAATACTTTGCTCTATTTCAGAACTAATTTAAATTGACTGGAAGGAGTTATTTTTTATTTTTTATTTTTTTTTTGTTAAAAAAAATTGATTTTAGCACCATTTTTAGCCTGTGTTTATTGCAATGTGTTTATTAAATCTTTCAAAAATAAGACATACTTTACTGAAACTATTTGAGGAATATTAGCTGATTTAAAGTATAATCAATTTTATTTGAAATAAATATTATTTATTTTAAGTTTAAAATATCACAGAAATGCACTGTAAATATGTCAGTAGCTGTTTATTTCTGTTCATGCATTGACAGCTTGATGACAGATTGATGTTTATCTAATGTTGTTCTGTGGGAACTTTATCCATCTTTTAATAATTGAATATAACATCAGCATCATAATTTTTAAGTACTCAGTAATCTTAAAAATTTAGAAAAATATTCTCCATAATCTAATGTTTTATTGAATTTTGGCTTTAAATTTACCATAGTTATTGCTCTTATTTTCTAATAATATTGTGTATGGATGTCTGCATCTACAAAAATCTTCACATTTATACACATACAAAAATATTCAAAATTCTTCGAAAAATATTGGTGTTTGATGATTTGCACTAAGATTTTTCATTTATGATTAGTAAATATAGTTTTTACTTAATAATAATATCATCATTTTGTTTAGATCAACAAACTCATCACCTATTGTGTTTTCGCCGTGATCAGTACCGGTCGTCAGCAGTGGCTGCCAAACATTCTGGAGATATTCGAACAGCTACCAAGTATGCTCAAACTGCAAAGGTTAGTCCTTTCATAATGATTTATGGTCTTTCTTCATTTTTAATCTGTAGTACTTAGTTTTATGAATTATTTGAACTAGTATTCTCATTTTGGGCCAAATAATCTATTAACCTAAATATTGTGATAGAAACAACACAGATGAGGATACTAGTTTAAATAATTCCTGGAATAGTTTTTCAAAGGACACCAAAGCTGGTTATTAAGCTTGATAAGAACTCATTCTCTATTTATAGAATTTATATAATTATTTACAGATATAACAAATTAATCTGTAATTAATAAAATTCCAACTTTGCCTTTTGCAAACTTTGCTTTGCATGACAATTCTTGGAGATCTTACACTTTAACCAATTTAATCCTTGTAAAAACATAACCATATTTAAAAAAATGTATTTGAAAGCTGCATTTTTTGCTCGTAAGCTCTTAAAGTTATTAAAATTTGTTTTTGTATAATGAAAATTACTGTTGTGAAAAGTTAATAAAGGTAATTTGAAGATTATAAATAAACTAGTAAAAAATTTTAATGTTCATTGCTTGTTAAATATGTTATCTTGTCATGTTTCCTTTCATATTTAAGCATTTACTATTTTTTTTCTTCAGCAATTTAACTGTGTCATCAAAGCTCTAGAAGAGGGCAAACCTATAGATTTATCGAAAATGCCACCACCACCACCTGGTTGTCCAGGTTTGTATTATTTAGTTTATAAATAATGTGCAGGTTAGCTGAGAAAGAAAAGATACATAACAAATTTTTAAGAAAATGAACACAATACATTGCATAAAGTGGATTCAGACTAATTTCCTTCTCTCCTCCTCCTCCTCTTTTGGTTGTGTATTCTGTAGCTATCCCTGGATGTTTGTGTGTTGGAATGTCATTGAAACTTGTTCTGAGGGAGAGTATGTACATGACCTATTCTTGTCTATTATTAGACTTAATTTAGGTATGTTCATGAGATTGATAAAAAAATAGCATTGCATGAATAAAAATTCCTTAAACTTAATGAAAATAATTTTTTACTGTCTAAATGTTTGTTATTATCAAGAGGAAAGATCAAAGTATTTTTTGAATATTTTTTACATCTTTTAATCATTCCTAGAATGTCCAAAATTTTCATTAAAAATCTTGTTTTTTTTTTTTGTTTTTTTTTGATTCAGTAAATTTGACAGAAAATCAATCATCAGCCATTTTTTCACTTTTGTTTACAAAAGTGAAATTCTCTGTGTAAAATTCTTTTAAAAATCAATTATAATTTTTTCAAAATTTAATTTAAGAAAATTAGAAATTTTTTAAACAAATATTACTTGCTTCCTCTGCTGAAAAAATGTACTTTAAAATAATTGAGAAAGCTGGTCTTAACAGCGGTGTTGATTGACAAGTAACATGATGATTTCCCCATGCACTGATATCTTACGTGAGGAAAAGTTATCGTATGGAAGGTCATAATTGACTTAATTTAGCTTTAAGTGAACCAACTTATTTACCTCATTATTTTTAAGGAAAACTATCAGCGTGTTAACCTTTTCTTTTTCTTTTTTGTTTTTTGGTACTTTCACCTTTACGTTTACAATGCTTTACGGAAAAATATAATGCTATAAAAAAAAAATTAAATAAGACATGAAGAGTGAGATAAAATTTTGTAAGAAAGGTACCTAATTAATTAGTTATCTTTCTTATGAAATATTATCAGTAGTGTATATTTTATGTACATTTATTACATTTTACGGTATTATTTGGATTTCCACTCATTTTATTATTAATTTTAATATTTCATTTATGGAAAATGACAACTGAGATAATATAAAGCTAAGATCATATAAATTTCATAAGATAGGTACATAATACATTGTAGGTACACTTATAAGTTGAAATGCCATACATTTTTTCTCTTTTGTTAATTTTTTTTTAATCTTAAGTTATATGACAATATTGAGAAGGCATTTTTCTTTTCTAATAGTTACATAATCATATACATATTTTATTTTATTTTTCATAGCTAAGTAAGAACAGAGGTTTAGAAATTCAATGCAACTGGTATCAGACTTTCATGAAATTTTCGTGTTTCACCCAGTGTAAAAATGTAAAGGCTGTTAACAACACTGAACAACATTTATATACAAAATCAAATCACGTGAAATTTTTTATTGTATCATGTTTCTTTCGGGTTTCCGAACATTTGAATTACAAACATTTTAGGGACACAAAAGGCAAGGAACAGTAAGATTTTTCTAACTGGAGGCTTGTTGATTGTAAAAAGCTTGTGCAATTTATAATCTGTACAGATAGATCTACTTAAAAAAACCATTAAATAAAGGATTCGCCATTTCCACTAATTTTACAATATTTAACAACTTTAATGTAAAAGTAATAAAATAATTTAAGAAATAACAATTCTTTTAAAAATTCATTTTTCATCAAAAACGTTTTTTGCCTTTAGACAATATTATGCATACTCATAAAAACAACTAAAAGCATTTGAAATTAAATAATATCTTTGTTTTGAGTTTTGTATGTTACAATTCCGAGCTGATTTTTAGGTAGATGAGGTTCAATTTAAAAAAAACAAAACATGATTTACTTTCCTCAAACCCTTGTGCTTTTAACTAATATAATAACTTGTGTGCTTCAATATTGAATTTCTAGAGTTTTCATAAAATTATTTATGGGGGTGGGTAATATATATATATATATATATATATATATATATATTTATCATGACATTAAAAAAATAACATATTTATAATAATTTCCATCATTACTGAATAGTTTCTGAAAGTTTCATTAAAATCTAACAATTATTTCTATTTTTGCAAGATTTTCAAAATTAATGTCTGTCATTAAAAAAAAATGCACAAAAATTTGCAATGTTATTTAGTACTTCCGCTGATGAAGAGAAACAAAGGTTTTTTTTTTAATCAAAAGTTAGAATGTTCTAAAAAGTCAGAAAAATTTTAAAAAAATAAAAAATACTTTGTTCTTTCCTTTTAATAGTAACATAAACATTTTGACGATAAAATTTTGCTTTCAAGTTTAAGATTGTTTTTGTCATGCTATGCTCATTTTCCAGCAATCTCATGGAGATACCTACTTAATTCTATAAAGGTTGATGTGCACTGTTTTCTCTACACTCATGGTCAGCCAGATTACAATTTTTCAGTGTCCCCTTTAGAGGGTAGTTGGTCTTGCCCTTATACTCTCTGCCAATCACATAAAAGGATTAAATCACCTTGTCTAACAAAATTCATGTAGGAATTCTAAAGACAAGAAAGTTATGCATTTTAGCACAAAATTCTACATATCACAAATAGATGGTACACACACAGAACAATGTGAGACCATTCGTATTTAGAAGTTACCCCCACCCCTTGATATCATAAAATTTCAAAATATTCATGACAGTTTTTAGCAATACATTTCTTACTAGGTTTTCTCTAAGCCTTTATTTAAATTAATGTTTAATTTATATAAAATACTGTAAAAAATATTTCTTAATTGTGTATTAATGAAGATATAAAGACACAAAGAAAACCGTCAATGAACTGTAAACACTAAAATGGAAGATATTGTTTTATTATTTTTGTTGATATTGACAAAGACTATTTTGATCTTCATGAGACTGATAAGGTATAACAGGTTTGTTATTGAAACAGTAATTTATTTATTTATACAAGATAGTGCTGAAAACTTCTTTACCCAACACACTTCCCAAATTTTGACCAAATATGTTTTCTTTTTAAATTGATGTATTTACTTATTTGCAAGGTTTCTTGGTTAGGTTAAGAACTTTTCAGCACTCCCTCATTTATGATGAAAACTATGAAGTTCAAGTTTAAAAAAACTTTTTCATTTTCTCTTTGTCTTAAGACAAATGGCTAGTCAGCATCAATATAATATGTTAAACTTAATTTAAAGAGTAATGTTCATTATACATAAATTGTGTTTTGTATCTTTACATGCTGTTTTCTGTCTGATGATTTCAAAATTTAAGAAAGAACATCAAAGTGCAGAGTTGGCCTAACAGTTAAGTGAAAAATGGAATATGCAAAATTCAAATTCTGGCTAAAGTAGTTAGTGTTAACATTGCACTAATGTTCTTAAGAAAATCATGAATTCACCTCTTCAAATAGGTCAGGTTAGGAATAACTGTTTGTTCTGTATAACTTAATACTGTCTGTCATTGCCAAGTAACCCCATTGCCTTGAGAAATGCCATGAAGAATCCAGCATAATACTCTCTCTGATCTACTAAATCACAAGATTATTTGATTACAAGAAATTAAATAAATGAAACTATAGAATGTTTGCTTTTTTGTATCTATATTTCCAACCTTTATATTTTGTCATTACAGAAGGCCCCACACAAAACATTTCCACTGCCAAGCCTAACCTTCATGTACCAGTTGAGAGAAGCAGCCAGGCAGCTAAAGAACCAACTCCTCCTTCAAATACAGAAGATATCATATCTGTTCCACCACTGCCCACTGATGGTATATTGATGAAATTTGTTTTTCTTTTTTCAAAGTCTTATATAAAATGAGAATGCATAATCTATTAAGAATTCATTTAATCAAAACAGGGGAAAATACATATCGTGAAATTTTGGTTTCAATCTAATGCTTATAAATATTATAATGGGAGAATAGATTTTGTGAGATGATAGCAATTTTCAATCTTTATTATATAATTCCATTGAGTTTGAATTAATCATTTTTCTTCACAATTCTTTATTTTTATATTACTACCCATTTTTATGTGTATTGAATTTTTACTTGTCTTTATTAAGTACATAAAATATTCTTAAATATCTATATCAAAACTTCTATATAAAGTACACTCGAGGGAAATATTGAAAATATCTGATAAACAGAATTATTTGATAAACTTCAAGTTGTTCAGTTTCAGTACAACTAAAAGATGATTACTATCTTTTTGGAAAGAGACAAAATTATTTTTCTTTTGTAGTAAATAATATTGTACAAAGTTATGCATACAAAACTTAAACAAAGAAAATATGAATAAATTTAAAATAGTAATTTTTTTAATTGATATTTTAATGGGAGTAAATAAGCAGGCTAACTGCATGCCTGACAAATAAACATACCATTAATATTGAGTTCCTAATTTAACTCCAATATCATTTAGATAACATATGATGTCTTTGATCTATTGACTGTATCATTGCAAAAATAAAACGTTCTTTCACATCAAAATATAAATATTTGAAAAGTGCACCAATAATGTTTAACTAGTGTGACTAGATCAACCAATTTCATTTTGCAAGAATTAACAAATTTAAAAAAATGCGTTGCAAACACATTAATAATTAAATTATCTAATTTACATATAGTGGTCCTCTCTTTTATCTTCTTTTCAGTTACCTGCAACCACACCCAAAAATCAATAATTCATAAGATTTAATTAATAATGGTCATGAAGGACAGGAGTCATAATGCTGGCAATTCAGAAATTTGTAAAGAGTAGTTGTAAATGGCTTCATTTAGGTGAAATGAAAATAAAAATAAAATTTATTACTCATTTTGATTTATAGATGTAATTTGTTGGTAGTTAAATTTAATTACTAAATTAATTAATAGTAGAGCCTTTGTCCCCCAATAAGTAATCATGAAGTTCAACTATTAATTCATATCTTTTTCTAAAAATCATTGCAATCATAAACTCTCAGATCATATTTAATGCAAATATCTAAGAGAATTTTAGGAAAGATTTTGTGTATCCACATTTTTTTTTTGAAATGTAGATGTTTCACTGGAGTTTTATTGCAGCAATAAATGTGGGCATAGTCCTGAATAGTATTTTGTGAGGACTTCCAAGTTCATGTTGCCATCAAGAGGTTAATGTTCATGACTATTTGTTAGCCATTACTCATACTCACAACAACGTGATCTTTTCCAAGTGTTGATTTTCCATTGACCAGCAAAAGTTAGGGAATTTTTCAGCTAAATCTCTACATTATATGATAAAAAATAAAGATTCCGTTATAGCTGGTTCAATGGACATGAAGTAAGGGGCTAGTTTAGCATCATACATATGCTGAAAATCAAACACCTGTTAAAAACAGGCATAGGTGTATAATGTTCTGATTTATAATAAAGAATGTATTTGAAGTGGTTTGTTATTACTCACACTACAGCTATTGATAAATATAACAATAAAAAAATATTGAAAATTTATTGAAAGAACATATGCATAAGCCACAACATTATAAAGACTACATTTAAAATTAAAATGAGTAAACATGTAAAATTTGGTGGGTTTTGCCCAAGCCATCTTTGATTTATTTGAAGTTAGACAAGATATTTGATAAATTATAAGATATATCTATATTGTTTAAAATTTACTATATTTATAGGAGAAGAATGTTCAGTATTAGAGATAGGGCATTTATAGTTATGGACAGTGTGGATATAGGGATCAAAACAAGTATACACACACACACACAACACACACACACACACACACACACACACACATATATATATATATATATATATATATAAAAAACAAAAAACATTAACACCCCTGCAAAATATATTGAATGCTTTATCTGTAAAACTTGAAGTCAGAAAAAACTCCTTTGAACTATTATTTTTCTATTATCTAGCGATGATACCCAGTATTGCTCGGAAAATCTCTGAATATCAGTTTATTATTGACAATTTATTGATATTTTTCAGTCATCTTATGGAAAATAATTTTTTATTCAATCTTTAAAAAATAAACCTTTTTGAATAACATTTTTTTAGGTTTGTTATGAAAATCTAAATTTAGGAAAATATCACAATACCACACTCGGGGCTTAGAGGCTGGGCATCCTCATAATTCAAAAAGACATTTTATTTTTCAAATTAAATACTAACATAAATACTTTGTTAATGTTGTTTTCAAACAAATCAAATTGCTTTATCTAAAGCAATTAACCTCTTTTCAAATTATTATTAATAAAAAAGTAAATAAACTTAAATTAAGATATATTTAAACATTTAATTTAATCATTTTTTTCAAGCAAAAACTATAGTGAGCATTATTACCTTGAAAAATAATTATTTACTATTTAAAACATTACATTAGTGATTATTTTTTTTTAAAGAAAGTGAAAGAAGCAAACATTTACCTGTAAATGGATTTAATTACTATTTTGAAAGAGTGTAGAAACAAGATACATTGAGAATTTAATTTTGAAAATCGATTATGTTTAAATTTCAAGTAATATTTGTATTTGAAAAGAAAAAAACTTTAGTTAAATAAAAATTTAGGAGAGACAGACATGAGTTATGGTCAACATTAGTAGTGTTGAATATTTGTTTTATGAATTTAACAATATTTTATTTAAATTAATTTTCGAAAAAATAAGGCTTGCTATATTTTTTTTGCTTTAATAAAACTTAATTTAAAATTATTTATTTTTTTTATGTTACAAACCAAAAAAACAATGATGTTTATTTTTTAAATATTGAGTAAAAAATTATTTTCCATAAGATGGCCGAAAAATATTAATAAGTCAATAATACGCACACGCACAACTGCCCTTTATATATGTACAGATAGATAGATAGACAGATAATAATATCCCTACAACATAAACATAAAAACAATGCATGTATTTAAAGTAAACCTATTATTAAAAATAATTAAAAATTTCCTGATTAAAAATATCGAAAAAAATGACTTATATGTTCATGAAATATTTGATTCTATTAAAATTATTGATAATTCCCCCCAAAATATCTATGGAAGTTTATTCTCTTGTGTTTGTACAATTTTTGTTTCAAATATTAAATATTCTTTTTCTCTTAAATTTACTTAGTTGTTTTAATATTCATTTTTTTTAATGTTACACTTTTATTTTATATGGAAATAAATTTAAGAGAATAGAAATTTTAAAAATATGTATAGCATTTTGAAATTATCAGCAGAATTAAAAAGTAAAAATGAACAGAATAAGAATTATTTCTGTTCATTTTTATTTTTTAATTCTGAGAAGTTTGAATGCATTCTAATGCAATTATTATGTATTTTTAATTCTAAAATATCTTCATAAATACAAATCATATGATAATTTTTTACGAAAAGGTTGGTTGGGTGTTACTGAGACTGTATATATATATATATTTATTTTGTTGTTAATTATTGTACTTTTTTAGTTTTAGCCACGGACACACACATAACTGCCCTTTTATATATGTATAGATAGATTTTATATATATATATATATATATATATATATATATATGGTGTGTAATAATATATAAATTTTTGTCTTTTTTTTTTTTTAAAGTTGAAAAGAAACTTTACAATGCACCTGATCAGCCAATAACCATACTGGATGCATTAAATCAAAGAATGGCTAAGTATAAATCCTGTGAGGAAGAAGCTAAAGCAAGTGGCAATAGTAGTAAGGTTAGACGAATGGGACGAATTGTCAAGGTAAGAATTAAACCTCTATTATAGATGAGAAAATTATTTTCTTTTCAGAGCTTAAAATATGTACAATGCATATACTTCTATAAAATACTATTTAGAGTTGACAATTTGATAATTCTGTGTTAATTTCAATGTTTTATATGCATATGTTATAGATATTAATAGCAAATTATTGGCAATAAACAGTAGGCTGTTTGTTATTGTTTATCCCTCTAGGAAAGCAGCTTATACAGCAGGTATTAGCCTAAACTTACATATTTAACTGAAAATTTTGAGATTGATTTATGTATGAAGCCAGCGTCCAATTGCAACAATGATCAGATATCAGCTTCTCATTCTTGTTTCTCTCAGAGTGAGTTGGATTTTGTTGCATATTAGCATTTAACATTGTTTTCAAGTTTATTTTAGATGTGCAAGTTTGTATTTATATTCATTTTTTTACATCCATAAAAAGACAAGTATACATTCCAAGTTTAGAAATATGATTTTATTGAACTATTTTAGTTATGATATGAAAATTTTGTTATTGGAAGCTGAAATAAAACATTAAAAACTAAAAGTGAAAAGGTTTTCTCATTGGTCAGAATTTTGCCATCTTAGAACAGCCATAAAATATCAACTTTCTTTTGCATTGCTGTCTTGTAGGCGAACCACACCTTATTAGGCAGGTGGTCATAATGTTTTGGTTTATAAAGGATATATCTTGTAAAGATTATATTTGAAGTAGTTGATTATTATCCACATTACAGTTGTCAAATATAACCATAAAAAGTATTGAAAATTTGTTGATACATATGACGCAAGATGATAAAGGCTGCATTAAAAATAACACAACAATTTAATTGGCTACAAAGTTTATGCTTTTAATCAAAAAAGACATTAATAAAGTTAATGATATAAATATCTTTTATTTCCAACATAACAAATTAAAAACAAACAAATTGCTCTTAAGAAAAATAAGACATTAAAAAGTTCTCTGGAGTTGTGATAAGTTGGTATTAAGAAAAATCAATAATTCAAATCTATTTATAAATGTATGTATATATTATGTAATTTATTTCTAAATGTTTTTATTATTCAACTTGTGCATTTGTAGTTATGGCACATATGCACTTTCATATCATTAATCAGTGTTTTCAAAGGAATATTTAGTAAAGCTGTTCCATTTCCAGTTATTTTGATTACACAAAATTGTCACTGGTATGGTTCAAAAAACATGGATAATTACACCGGAGGAATAGTATAATTTTTGTGGAAGATTAATGCAAAAATATACTTAGTACTTCGGATAGGTTTGTAAACCACATTTAATTTTGTCGAAATTTGTGTAATATTTATATCAAATCTCATAACACGTTTCTGTGGTTATTATTTGATTTCCTCAATGCTGACTAATAGAACATAAAGAAATGTTTCTTTCTGACTGTAATTTATTTATAAATGTTTTTATCATTCAACTTGTATTGTGCGTTTGTTGCTATGGCATACATGCACTTTCTTAACATTAATCAGTTCTTGGGAAGGAATATTAAGTAAAGCGGTTCTATCTCACATTATTTTGATTATGATTTTGTCACTGACACAGTTCAGAAAATATTGTTTTCTCCATTATATTCACTAATACTTTAAGAATGATATAAAAAAATGAGTTTTGAAATAAGCAACACCACAATAGCAAATTAGTTTCTTTCATTTTATGTACAACCCTTTTGTTTTGGATTTAGTATGGATAGATTTACTTGATATTTAATGCATATTTGTAGAGTAAACAATTGAATCTTAACTATATAATTATGTTTGTATTGTCTATAGAATTTTTTGAAACAATTAGTTTCAGTATTTGCATGTGTTGTAAATTCATTTAATATTGAAAGATGTTCTTGCTTGATATAAATAATTGTTTTAAAATAATTTTTAAATTATTATTTACAGGCATTTTTATTTATATTTTATTATTGAAATCTGTATTATTATTATTTTTGAATATGTTTCTGATCATGATTTTATTGATGCTTGATGTTTGGAACAGAAATGGTATGTTCTCCATATGAATTCTTAATTTATGAAATTGCTATTTCTAACAAATTTATTGCTCGTATCTTACAAAATTTGAAGTTCTGTCTAATAAAACTCATATATTTGAATGTATTAATGTTTAACACATAATAAAAAAATCTAAATATTGTTTGTGTTACTCTTAAAGCAAATTTTTTGCTTAGCAAGTTTTATACATATATTTCCATGTATAATAGTTGAAATAATAATTGAACAAACTTATCAAAATTCAGATCCTAATTATTATTTTAGAAATTACTCTTTTCAATAGGATGAAAAATTTGCTGGAATTTTGCATTTAATTGATAAAATTTAAACTTTTTATAAATATTTTAATAGAGAAACAGGACTCTTATTGATGAAAGAATTGTGATTTACGTGTTGGTTAAATTGTGAAAAAAGGAAAGAGGAAGAGAGAAGGGTTACTTATGGATATTTAGCCTGGTCTTGTGTCCAGAAACTGGAACCAAATGACCAACTGATATTTATGGTCTTGGTCGGAGGAGGTTAGCCTCCCTCCTTAAAAAACCCTCCTCTGTATTCTGATTGACCTATTTTCTCTATCAGCCGACACGTGACTGGTTAATTTGTCATGCTGAAGGATTATTTCTTTTTTCTGCTCTGTTACTTGACCTAGTTGGAGCAGGTCGCAAGAGGAGGACTTCTTTTGCAACCCTTACCAGGCTGTCACTGCTCTCTTCTGGGTTTTCCCCACTTTTACTGCGTCGAAAGTTTTTTTTTTTCCGACAAATTGCAAAAGACCTTCTACAGAAATTTGTTTTTTTTTTGTTACCGACATTTTTTTTTTTAAAAAAAAAAAAAAAAAATGGATGTTACTAAAGAACAGCTCCTTCATAGGTTGACTGTTCTTAAAATCAAAGTCGAGGAATGACTGAAGTTGTGTCGTGGAGACAGAGTAACGCCTCATGTTTTTTCTGTCTTCCGAAAGGATATTCTGCAATACATCTTCAAAATGGAGACTTGTATCACAAAATTAGAGCTGGGATCCTTCCCCGAGACAGACTTGTTTGAGACCCGAAGCTGAATGGGCCCTCGACTAATGGAGTACCACCGAGAACTGGGCGATCTGGATGGTTTTTTTTCTCCCAGTTCCTGCTTGGATCCTGTTTCCCAGTCCTTTGGGGTTCCGTCAACACCAGGAAGAAGTTCGGCTTCCTTTGTTGTCAAACCTCTGCAAATACAAATAACAGGGCCCACCTTTAGTGGACTTGAGATGGCTGACGACCACATGAGTTTTCGGAATTTTTTTGATGAGATTCGAAAACTGTGGGTTGGCATGGCCAATGACTGAAAAGATTAAACTTTCTGAAATGCTCCCTCTCCGACAGAGCTTTAAGACTGATTAACCATTTGAGTTGCATGGATGCCAACTATCAGCGTGCTCTTTCGGTGTTAAAGAGGGAGTATTTGGACATTGATGAGATAATCGACCAGATATTTCAGGACATTCTAGACTATGTTCCTAAAAGGGACATCTGCTATTCCAATCTGGGTGAATTCATCTCCAGGACTGCCTCTCTCTTGGGGGAGCTGGGGAACTCCTTTTCTTGCAACTTTTCGGGCGGACGATTCTGGTGGAGCTCGCCTAATGGCCAAGATTCTCTTCCAGAAATTTCCCAAAGAATTGAAGGGGAAATGATAGGACTAACAGGTAAACGAATACCATCATTGTCTGCCATATTGGAACTTACAAGTGAGGCAGTCAAACGATTACAGGTTAAGGGAGGCACGTCTGCTGCTTCTACATTCACCACTGGCCAGGGTTCTTCTCAAAAAACCACAGGGCCACTGTTACTTCTTCCTTTCATGTGGATTCCAACAACCTGACTTCTGCTGGTTATTCCCATAGCTTGCCCCCCCATCTTATTGGTCAATTTTTTCAATGGAGAAAAAACAGTGGCAGTTAATTGCCTTTTGGACACTGGTAGTGGGCGGTCATACTTGTCTGCTGATGTGCTGAGGGACTTGGGTTCAATTGAGACTGTTGGAGTCAGTTGTCGGCTTAGACTTTTCACCCTCCTTGGTGAGTGTGACCTGAAATTCACAGAGGTAGTTCTGGGGGTTGACCTTGGTTCTGGTGAGGCTTTGACTTCCTCTGTTTTGGTCACTGATGCAATGGACTTGTCTGTACAACTGGCTCACTTGGAGACCCTGTTGGGTGCCTTTTAGGGCAGCTAACTATAGTTTGGCTGGCCAATTTGAGGCTGGGTCAGACCTTGTACTTATCAAGGGCATTATTGGATTGGACCTTATTCATCGATTGATTACATTGAAGTTGGTCCCCTGTCTGAGGGGTTGGGCCTTTTCTGTTCCGTCAGGTCTGGTTCCTTTTGGAGCTGTGGACTCCTTTTTGTCAGGAGACAAGATCCCTTGTGGTGGCCCACCTCTCCTTTAAACTGTAATGGAGGATACCCCAAGTAATTCCTCAAAAAACCAACCAACCTACCTTGACCCTTTGGCGGATTTTTTCCTTGAGTACAAAGAGGATTGGAAACTGTTTAGCATGGAGTCCCTGTATCTGATCCTTCTCTGATTATGATCAAGAACAGATGAGACGTTTTAAGGATGTGGAGCTCAAGGATGGAAAGTTGAAGGATGGAAAGTTTTGTGGCTCAAGGATGGAAAAATCCCTGGCATTCTGATAAGTTAGCCCGGGTCCCATCCAATCATGCCGTTTCTTTACGCATCTTGGACCGGGTGGCTTCAAACCTGACTAAAAAGAATATTTATCTTGAATACTTAGAGGTGTTCTGTCAGCAAGAACAGGATGGAATAATTGAAGAGATTTTTGTTCCCCAACATGAATTTGATAAATTTGTCTGACCCAACAGCTACTACCAAAATCAGACCTGTGTTCAATTGCAGTCTGAAGACTGGTGGTGGATTGTCTCTGAACGAGGCAGCTTACTCTGGGGTCAATCTAACTG